GACAATCTTGAACATTTGTCTTCCTACCAATTCTCATCAATGAAGTTTTTTCATTCAGTAACGGAACATAAGATATAAGAGGAATAAAAAAAGAGAATTTTGAAATAAAAAAATCGGAATTTCATCTCTCTTGTAATATTCTTTAGTTAATCCTACCAAATATTGACTTTCTAAGTTTCCTATCTTAATCTTTATGTCTGTCTATTTGTCTGTTTGTCTTTTTATGATATATTTATCTGTATACTTTGTCTGATATGAATCCTTTCCATAGAGTAGAGACATAATATAGAGGGGAAATGAGAGACATTTCATAGACAGACAGTTCATAGATGGATATTTCATAGATAACAAAATCATAGATATAGAAGGACAGTTAATAGATAGGACATTTCATAGATAGGACATCTCCAAGAATATCAACAAAGCGTACACATTATGGTACACTACACTCACTTTTTTCTCTTTAAAAGCAGGATGAACAATTCTTTAAATGAATTAGGCCAATACAAATCACGATTTAATGTGAAATAGGCATTTGCACACAAACTTGTAGTCAAAACTTTTCGAAGTCAAACCTCTCTGTTTATATTTGTACTCTGTGGTCTGCTCTATACTACTTTATATACACTATATTTATGCAGGGTATCATCATAAAATTTCACACGGGATACCACCAGGACATTTCCCAGGGATACCACCAGGACATTTCCCAGGGATATCACCAGGACATTTCCCAGGGATACCACCAGGACATTTCCCAGGGATACCACCAGGACATTTCCCAGGGATATCACCAGAACATTTCCCAGGGATACCACCAGGACATTTCCCAGGGATACCACCAGGACATTTCCCAGGGATACCACCAGGACATTTCATATGGATACCATCAGGATATTTCCCAGGGATACCACCAGGAAATTTCCCAGGGATATCACCAGAACATTTCCCAGGGATACCACCAGGACATTTTCCAGGGATACCATCAGGACATTTCCCAGGGATACCACCAGGATATTTCCAAGGATACCATCAGGACATTTCCCAGGGGATACCACCAGGACATTTCCCAGGGATACTACCAGGACATTTCCCAGGGATACTACCAGGACATTTTCTATATAATGTGATGAAATATGAAAAAATAAAAATAAAAGAAAGGAAAGAGTAAAGAAAGGGGGGTAACAGCTAGACACCACCAATCTACACGAACAGACTGTGCTTAAAGATATTTTTCTTTAGCAAAGTTTGCACTTTTTTAACAACCTATGAGAACCCTGCCAGCTTTGGGAAACTTTAAAAAAACCTCAGCAAACCCTTCTAACTAAATTATTACAGATTCGATCATGTAAATATTTTAATATCGCAAGAATATTATAATATAAAATAATCAAATATTATGATATTGATAAAATATTCAAAAATATCGCCTTTTGAAAATCCAATTCTCTGAAAACTGTCTTTGGGGAAAACGAAGAATTCCCCACCCCCGAAATTTCTCTCCCCGACCTGTTCCAAACTTTTATGATGGTTTTCTCTTGATTCCTTCTTTGTTTAGATAGGGTTGTTCATAATGCAAGAATTGTTCAGATAGGGTTGTTCATAATTTAAGAATTGTTAAGATAGGGTTGTTCATGAATCAAGAATTGTTTAGTTAGGTTTGTTCATAATTCAAGAATTGTTTATCTAGGACTAGGGTTGTTCAATATTCAAAAATTGTTTAAATAGGGTTGTTCACAATTCAAGAATTGTTTAGATAGGGTTGTTCATAATTCAAGAATTCTTTAGATAATTCTAGAATTGTTTAGATAGGGTTGTTCATAATTCCACAATTATTTAGATAGGGTTGTTCATCACTCAAGAATTGTTTAGATCGGGTTGTTCATAATTTAAGAGTTTTTTAAATATGGTTGTTCATAATTCAAAAATTGTATAGGGTTGTTCATGAATCAAGAACTGTTTAGTTAGGGTTGTTCATAATTCAACAATTGTTTATATAGGGTTGTTTATAATTTAAGAATTGTATATACCAAAATAAAATATACCATTAGGTTAAAATAGTTTTTGTTTTAATAGTGGAATTGATGTCCTACAAAATTGGACTATAATATTTTAAAATCTAAAAGTCTAATAGAAGATAGTGTTTCATGGACCCCTGAGTATATTGAGACAAATAAGCAACTATGGTAGATATAAGTTTGTATATAAAATTTAGAACGAAATCATTTTACTAATGCCAAATTTTGCCAAAATATAAGGAACTTTTTTTTAAATCCTTGTGAGAAAATAGGGTTGAGTTTACAAGCGAAATAGTGTTAAAGCTAACGAACGTTACAACATATATGGTTACACACAAAGGATAAGGCATCAGAGATTTTACTGTCTGTTTCCTTGTATTTATTTTTCCCCGCAACTCTTATTTTTTGTGTAAAATAATTAAATCATAACAAATTTTATTGAAGTTAGAATCCTTAACTTAACAGAGCTGGAAACTTTAGAATTGTGGATATCAGGATTAAAGCTTAATCTTCTCTTTTTGCTAATCTCGAGACTAACGTTAATCTTGAGATTATGTTTGACTCGAGGTTAAATATTTAGATCAACAAATTTGATTCCAGGAACACCAGATTCGCTTTCTTGGTCGGAAAGGCCTTCACTTAATTTCTCACCCATTTATTCATTAATACATTAGTTAAAATTGGCTAAATTCGCCAATTAATTTACAAAATGGCCGACAAGAAATTCTTTATTTGTTAGAAATTGAGGATTTCTCTCATGGGATAGAAATTATATTTAAGGCTGTCATCGGTCAATACAATTTACGAACTATATTCCTGCACTCTCATTGTAGAAAACAATGTGCGGATATCCAAAGAGAGAGAAAAAGAGTGTATTGAGGAATAAAATTAAAGGTTTCCACAGTGGATATTCGGATTAAGTAGTTGGGATTAAAGGTTATCCATTCTAAAGTTCCCAGCTCAGAATCGTTAATACTTTGTGGGCTACCATGTTTATCTAGAACTAAAATAGGTATTTGAATCAGTTTATCTTCAAACCAATATATTTTCATAGAAAATATTATCTGAAATATATTGGAGATATTTAAACTATTAAAGTTTGAAACCAAGTCCTTCAGATCTAGCAATTTTCTGTTGAATAGTGGAATTCAATTTGGATTTAACTTCGATAAACTTTATATAGTCCAGGGCACTCAACCAAGTCTTCGTACTATCCTATTAACTATATCAATACTACTTGAGAAACTGGAACTTTTAATGGGAAAAGAGTTACTAAGCTTAAAGGGACTGTAATCGTATTTTAAGTGAACCCTCCTGCAAAGATTGCAATTCCCGATTTACAACGGTACCCTTGATACCTTAATCTGATCAAAAATGTGGAAGATATCGTCGTTTTCCTGGCTCGAAAAGTGCTTAACTTTCTCCATTTGTAAATCGGGCATTGTCATCTGTCCATGGAGGGTCACTTGAAATTACGCTTACATTCCCTTTGAGTCAATATCCTAGACTCAGTTATAATTTAGAGGTCTGAGTCCGCATTTAATGAATTTGAGCCGCGTTTTAAATCCGCCAGAAACCGGTTTCAATTGAGCGCCGGCTTAAATCTTGAAACATTGAATACAATTTTAAGTGGAACCAACCATATTTGAGCCGCGTTTTAAATTTAAGCTGCGGCTCAAATTCTTAAAATTCGACCTCAGCTTTGATCGGGATAATCATAAATACTGGTTTCGCCCGACAAATCAGAGACGGTCTACATTTGAGGAAAATATATCCTGAGGCCGAATTTAAAGAATTTGAACGGTGGCTCAAATATGGTTAGTTCCACTTTAAATTGTATTGCAATATTTCAAGATTTAACCCGGTGCTCAATTGAAACTGGTTTTTAGCGGATTTCAGACGCGGCTCAAATTAATTAAATTCGGACTCAGACCCCCAAACCATAAGTTCAGTCCAGGATATTGACTTAAATTCGGACTCTGCATTCTGATTGGTTGATATGTCTTCAGTGTCCGATTTTAATAAATCCTAAAGAATTTGTCCACAACACTGCATACTTAGTCTAACTACCATACTTGAGCCGCGTTTCAAAGTTAAGCCGCAGCTCAAATTCTTTTAATTCGGCCTCAGACCTCTTATTGGTAAAATCTCCGGATGTTTAAGACACATCAAGAGGCGAATTTAAAGAATTTGAGTCGCGGCTCAAACATGGTTGGTTCCACTTGTAATTGTAAGCAGTGTTACGTGATTTAAGCAATAACAGGAGGAACTAGGGAGGAAACCAAGGATAATAACAGGAGTAACTAGGGAGGGAACCAAGGATAATAACAGGAGGAACTAGGAACGGAAACAAAGATAATAACAGGAGTAACTATAGGGACTAGTTAAAAACCAATTGCAACCCTTGGGGCCATCATGTGAGGTCCAACATGGCCATATCACCCCACTCTAAAAGTTGCATAATCCGAGCCGGTACAAAATGTACTATAAACGCATTCAGTCGTACTGTCCAGTCTGGACTAACAAGATTTTATTGCAATTTATATTCAAAGTAAAATTACAGTAATTATTTTACATTAATCAGTTTTGCTGTACAGTACAATCCCTCTCCACTTAAGTTCGTTGTTGATGCGGTCAGTGTACTGGAAATCACTGCAGTACACATGGAAAGTTTAGTTGAGGATGCAACATTATTTTTCAATTATGGAATCAAGTTTCAAGTTTTATGAAATCTACATTCACAAATTGAACTACTATGTAATAACACAGACAAATAAGTTCTTCTAAATATTTTCTTGGTAACAAAGAAAATGACGTCATTTGGTAGATTGTACAGAATATTTTTTCCAATTTTGTTTTTTAATCAAGTAAAATCTAGTTTTTAAGTAAAATTTTGAAAATTTTAGAAACCTTGCTTAAATATTTAAGTACAAATTTTTGTAATGTTTTAACTGACTCAGTGTTCCCGATTTTAATTGAAAAAGGAGCTTTCAAAAATAATAATTCTAGATTAAAATGTTGTTATTATTATTATTTGTTTGTGTTCTGAGCATTGTGTCTGTATTCTGCAGTGATTGTGAGTTTTCTAAGAACTGTTATAAAACAAAGGAATGCAAGACGATCCAGGTCAAGTATTTTGCCAACTACTATGCAATTACTCCTTCTACATTTACGCTAGAAGCAAGCGCCTTTCATTTTTAAAATTGATATGCCTATGCCTACAAAAAATTTGAAGTAATTTGGTGAAGTATAACCAAAGCCGTTGCGGCACTTTAAAGTCAAGGCTTTCCAACAGGCTGTCCAAAAGGCTTTCTTACAGGGTGTCCAAAAGGCTTTCTAACAGGCTGTCCAAAAAGCTGTCCAATAAGCTGTCCAAAAGGCTGTCCAAAAGGCTGTCCAAAAAGCTGTCCAAAAGGCTGACCAAAGTTGTCTAGCTTTTAGCTTTCTCAGTGAGGGAACTCAAGGTGGCTTCAAGCGTTATTTATTTCTGCTCTCTTTGAATTTTAATGTTTGCCCCTGATCATTGCAAATTCAGTTTTGCATCTTATGTACAAGTGAAAATGTGTATTGTCTTTGAACATTTTTAGGTTATTAAGTGTATTCATGATTGAAGGAACTTGAAATACTTTCTTATTTTAAACGGAGTCAAACGAGGGGGGAAAGGCGACCCTTACCCATTTGACATCCCACCCGCAGATGACGTCACTAAACGGGTTAGTGGCATGCCCTTCCCCTATGCCGTCTGACCCACACCTGTGTTGGCCTTCCAACAAAATGTCTTAATTTGTAAAGGCAATTATTTTAAGTTTGAATTTTTTTCTTTTAGGCGCGTCAGTCAGGCACTACTGGTTTTAATTGAAATTTCATAATTTTAAAATATGAATTTTTTTATTGATTTGATAGTAAATAAACCCTTTTTTAGATTTAGCAATGATTTTTATTTGGTGTTACTGTTACAACAAAAAATATCATGAATAAGTATAATATATAAAAAATAACATGATGTCTTTATAAATTTAAATTAATGCTGCATTCGTCTAAAATTAGCATATACAAATTGAAAAATTTTACCTGAAGGCCAACGGGTGAGGGTCGGACGGCTTAGGGGTAAATGCATGCCGCAAATTTGTTTTGTGACGTCATCACGGGTCAAATGTCAAAAGACTTTTGAAAGTTTAATGAACATAAGGCACATAAAATGTGCAGTGTATGCAGACCCATTTCATTTAATAAGTGATTAAATGACTTACCAGTAAAGCTATATGCTTTGTTATAACATCAATTGCATTTCAGTATTGCTTTAATGTCGTCTTCTTATTCTACAATTTTGCTGGTTACCACTTTAGATATAAACCAGAAAGAACTTGAGAAACACAATTTATCGCTTCAAGTAGAGATGGGCGAGTTCAACTTTTTTCATTTGTTCGTTGATTGTTTCTTTGTTCGTTTTTTCCAACTGTTCTTAAAAATGCAGTTCGTTGTTCTAAAAGTTATCATTAATTTTTTATCTATTTTGTTCGTTTTCTCACCAAATGATGCTTCATTAAAACCGTTGATTCAATAAAATCATAGTTTTTATTCAAATTTTTGTTCCAAAAAATGGTTTTTCATTAAAAAATTATCATATTTTTGTGTTTATTTAAAAAAACTATAGTATTTTCATTTTTCTGAACGATCAAAGTCGTTTGTCCTTTGTTCATCTCCTTCTTACTGAACAACACCATTGTTCACAAAAAATTTAGTTCTTTCTCCAAATTTTGTCCGTTAAGGAAAACTATGCCCATCTCTAGCTCCAAGGTGTCAATATCTTTCACCCATAATACATTTCAGGATGCAGGTTGTATCTGTAGGTTTGGGTCCTGTATAGTTACTGGTCATCCCTTTACAGGGAACTATACTCCAGAGTGTAAGGTCTTTACAGACTGTAAATGCAGGTAATCCAATCTGACTTTATATTATACATGATTGGTTGTCAAGTATGATTTCATAAAAGCCCTATTATTCAGCAGGACTCCTGAATCTGACATTATATTTTGGTTGTCAAGTATGATTTCATAATAGCCCTATTATTCAGCAGGACTCCTGAATCGGACATTATATTATACATGATTGGGTGTCAAGTATGAATTCATAATAGCCCTATTATTCAGCAGGACTCCTGAATCTGACATTATATTATACATGATTGGGTGTCAAGTATGATTTCATAATAGCCCTATTATTCAGCAGGACTCCTGAATCTGACATTATATTATACATAATTGGTTGTCAAGTATGATTTCATAATAGCCCTATTATTCGGCAGGACTCCTGAATCTGACATTATTTTATACATAATTGGTTGTCAAGTATGATTTCATAATAGCCCTATTATTCAGCAAGACTCCTGAATCTGACATTATATTATATACATAAATGGTTGTCAAGTATGATTTCATAATAGCCCTATTATTCAGCAGGACTCCTGAATCTGACATTATATTATATACATAATTGGTTGTCAAGTATGATTTCATAATAGCCCTATTATTCAGCAGGACTCCTGAATCTGACATTATATTATATACATAGTTGGTTGTCAAGTATGATTTCATAATAGCCTTATTATTCAACAGGACTCCTGAATCTGACATTATATTATACATAATTGGTTGTCAAGTATAATTTCATAATTATTATTCAGCAAGACTCCTGAAACTTGTTTCTGCAATGATGGAACATGTGTATCCGATCCTAAGGTTTGTAAAGTGCCATTAGTTTGAAGAAAAAATTCAAAATTTTAAAAGAAAAAAAGTGATTTTTTGTAAAAAAAAGTGACATTTTCTACTGGGTTGTCTGTTGAAGTATGAATTAGATATCCGTGTTTTTGTTTTTGAAATCTGATATCTCTACATAAAGGTGAATAATTTTAGGAAAAATGGGAGTGCCATGACAATAACAGTACTGCATGTGCTGCCATGAAAAAGTGCTCAGAAACAAAATGTACTTGCAGAGGTAAATAAAAGATCAATCTACAGAAGATAAACATCCTAATTTTCCTAAAATTATTTGAAAATGTTGCTTTAAAAAATTTAATTTCTAATTTTATTGCTTTTGTTGTTTTTCAGGAAATCTATGTGAGCACGACTGTAACACTGTTGAAGACTGTGTAAACGGTGATTTCCCATGTGCCAGGAGTATTGGCAGTGAGTGCAGGTAAGTTTATTTGATTTTTTAGAATATAAGCAATGGTAAGTTTGTTATTTTCTTTGCCAAATCATTTTATATACCATTCAAAGATTATATATAAGATCGTCATTTTACGTTCCAAGTTGTACTTAAAGGGTAGCGGTAAGCTTAATTTCAAAATATCAAAACCCAAATATATTATCAGGTACACCAGGTGGCAACAGAGAAATGGACCAATTATGTTTGACGTCACAAGTGTCAAATAGAACAAGGAAAACGAAATTTTCTGACATTAGTTGACATGTCTTTCTAGATAAAGTAAAAAATTTTAAAACAGAAAATAAAAAAACACGTAAAATTGCATTAATTTTACTGTAAGATAAGCACTGAATATTCTAAAATTATCACTATTTTAAATAATTTTGTACCGTACTGAGAGTGTTCAAATTCTACGTTGCCATCTATTGTACTAGCATCTATTTGGCAATTCCCGACTCATAACAGTACCCTTGAAACCTAAATTTGATCAAAAAATTGCATGATCCAAGTCTTTGTACTGTAAATGCATTCAGTCCTACTGTTCAGTCTGGACTACCCAGTGTAGAGTCTACACAGCACGTATTATACAACAAATATAGCCTAGCAAGATCACAGTACAGCTTGCATTAATCATGTTTTCTTTGCTAGGTGTGAAGAAAATCTTTGTACTTATGTTCTTCGTCCCAAACAATGTGATGAAATTTCCAACTGTGTTGAGAAAGGTGTGTCTGCAATTTTATTTTCCAAAATTAGGGATTCCCACATTGGCACTTTTTTTAATATTTTTCAATATTCCCACATTGGCACTTTTTTCAATATTTTTCGCTAAAGGATGGTTTAATTGACAGGGTCATTAAATATACTCATCAAGTAGCTTTTTGTTGTTGATTCTTTCCGTTTAAAAAAAAACTATGCTTGTTGGGGGCTTCGCACCCCACTTTTTTAAAAATCGTTTTTGCTACAAACTGTTGATTTTAAAGTGACCATGTCTTCTTTGTTCTCAAATAAATTAGATTTTTGCTTGTTTTTCTGGCTTATTTGGTGGATTTCCGAAACACAACCAATATGGGCCCAATGGTTTGAGGTGTTTCGACGTTTATTGGATACACCCAAAAGAATAGTTTTATACCTGTAGGAAAATGCACTGGAAATGCTCCCTGCGCCTGCACTGAAAATCAATGTGTTCACCCCTCGTTTGCTAAAAGTGAAAGTGCCGAGAAGCTCAGGTAATGGTAATATCAGAAAGGACTTTTATTCATAACTATGCTACTATGGACACTTTGTGCTCATCTTCTATTTCAACTTATAATTGTTGCTCAATATTTTAGCATTTTCTTTTCCATAAAACAATAATAAATATTTTTGCGGATTTACAATTTTTCTTGGATTTTCAAAATTTCACAAAATCAATAATTGTTGGAGACAATTTTTTTTTAAATTATGAGAATCCACAAATATAAACATAAACATAAATATAAACATAAACATAAACATAAAAAAAACAGATGTGTTCGTTTGAAAATTGTGTGCCTCATCCTGACTCAAATCTTATACTAATTTAGGGAGATAGAAAGTCACCAAAGCTATACGAAATTACTTATTTTTGAAAAAAATCTCCTTTGAACAACACTATTTTTAATTTTTTCAGGTCTGTGACCATGCTATTGCCAACTGTCAGAATGATTAGTCTACTTGTGAGTAAATTGTGAAGGTTGATGAATACACAACTCTAGGTGAGAGTGCACAACCAAAAGAGGAGTACAAGAATTGACTGTCTTGATATACCAACATTATTAAGAATGTGTAATAAAGTTTTAATAATCTAATTTAAAAACTTATTTTAGTTGAGAAACATTTTTTTAAACAATGACTTTAAGTTTTCGGTTCTCAGTCATTCTCATTTATCATGGAGTCTTTCTAATGTTCTTCCTGGATTTAAGATTTTTAATTCAAAGTAGTCACTTTAAATAAACTTTAATTATCTTTGGAAATAAACGAGATACAGGGTGTCCCACGAAACATGACAGTATGCAAGACGACTTGAACATCGTCTTGATTTTTGATATAATTTGATGCATTTATTTGTCAACCTAATTTTAGAAGTAAATTTCTAGAGATAATAATCACAAAATTCCCCTAAACCTACCATTTCCAAAATGTGGTCTGCCTTTTTTGTGTTTTCAATATTGCCTGAGATTTGAACAATTTCGTTCAGATTTCGACAATTTTGCTTTTATTTAACAAAATTGAAATCTGTACCAAACTAGGGTTTCCACCGGAATTCCGGGTTACAGTTTACGTACGGAAACGATCCGGAAATTTTTTCCATTTCCATTATGGAAAAGGTTCCGGAAAACCGGAATTCCGGAACGATTTCTGGAACGATTTTTTTTTCGTAAAACGGAAATTTCCGGAACGTTGTTCCGGAATTACGGATCGTTACGGAATTCCAGAACGTTCCGGAAATTTCCGGAATGTTCTGGAATATTGTTCCGGAAATTTTCCATAAAATCGTTCTGGAAATTTCCGGTTTCCGGAACAATTGGTACCAGAATTACATTAAAGTCTTACATATGTAAATACAACACCAGTTAGTAATACTAACAATATATGGATGGATGCCAGACGGTAGAAAAAGTTATACTCAATAATCAATATTCAAAGTTACTATAGTGTGAAATGTAACTGATAAACCGAGGGGGNAGGGCAATGATCCTAGATTTTTTTCTTCAAATTTTCAAACTTTGTAAATATGAATTTAATTAAAATAAGAAAAATTCTTTAAGTTCCGGTTTACAAATGGAAATTTTCCGGTTTACGTTACGTAAACCGTAAAAATTTCCGGTTCACGGAATGGAAACCGGAAATTTTTCCGGTTTACGAAATGGAAACTGGAAATTTTACGGTTTACGTTACGTAAACCGTAAAAATTTCCGGTTTACGGAATGGAAACCGGAAATTTTTCCGGTTTACAAAATGGAAACTGGAAATTTTCCGGTTTACGAAATGGAAACTGGAAATTTTATGGTTTCCATTCCGTAAAACGGAAATTTTTCCGGTTTACGTGACGTAAACCGGAAAATTTCCTGTTTCCATTTATACCGGAATTATCCCGGAATTCCGGTTTACGCAACAAATTTCCGGATCATTCCATTTTCAAAATGGAAATTTTTTTCCGGAAAAATGGAAACCCTAAACCAAACTCTTTATATCTCCGGTTATATTAAAAGCACAACAAACGCAGACCACTTTTTAAAAATGCCAGGGCTAGGAGAATTATGTGATAATTGATTCAAGAATCATACATGTTAAAGTAGATAGAAGACTAAATGTCACAATTAAATTCAAATATCAAAGACGACTTTCAAGACGTCTTGCTGTTGTCATGTTTCGTGGGACACCCTGTATATAAAAAGTATGAATATTTTTTTTTTTTAAATTTGCAATGCTAACCAAATATTCTGTCTGACCTTGAACAAAGTTAAAAAAGGAAAAAAACATAGACAAAGATAGACACTCAGCTAACTCATCTCACGAAACCTCAGAAACAGTAGAAGCACCGGAATCAGCAGAACCATTGGAAACAGAAGAACCGCCAGAAACAGCGAACCATGAGATACAACAGTAGCATTAGAAATATTAAAAACATTAGAAATATTAGAAACATTAGAAATATTAGAAACATTAGAAATAAAAATAGATAGTGCCTAAAATGAATAAATATATTTAAATGTAGAATCAGAGTAGCAATGGAATTAACAATTATGGTTTCTAAATTAATTCTTAAATTCCTGATTAAATTTCAAGTTTAGACAAACTTGGACAATTAGATTTAGTCTTGTTAATAAACAAACAAACAAATACCAGGAACTTAAGATTCATATGCAGGGTTACCCACAAAGGATAAAACTTCAAAGACGACTGTACAGAATAATTAGGTCATTTTTCCTGCATCATAGCTATACAGTAATTTTTCACTTCCAAAGCATTCTCTTTAAAGAATAAATTGAAACTTAAAATAAATCTATAAATAGGTATAAGAGTTTCAAATAATCATAATAAAATCTCATCTCATCCTCTCTGAGAAACTCTGTTTTTAAATAAATACAATATACACATGTAATCGTACAAGATTTTCTACATCCACAAAAAAAATTGATTTTAATCCAACAAAAAAGTTCGGCAAGAGTAAATTCTTTTTATTAAAAAATAATTTGAAAGGACAATGTTCCAAAAAAATACAAATGACTTTAAAGCGTAAACAAATAAAAAAAAAGTTTTATTTGGCATTGCCATCTGGAAAAAATGTAAACAATTCAATTAACTTCTCATCATATATCATGTTCTTATTGTACCAAAATCTTATTTCAAGAAGTTCAGATCCTGTTTCTTTCACAAAGGAATTGAGTTTTTGCCACTAACTCGTATTTTCTAACCCCTATATGTTTGCAACCTCATGGTGTAAACCTTTGATATTTCAAACTTAGATTATTTGATCTAACAGAATTAATAGTTTGAAATATCAAAGGTCTAGGAAATTGGGTTGCAAAGTTATAGGAATTAGAAAATCAGAGTTTGTGGCAAAACCATTATTTCTTTGTTTTTATTTTTATTATTGTTCATAAATGTCTATATTAACATAAGAAGATTGTTCTTCAAATTATAGTTGAGATATATTTGAAGAATACTGTTCAGCTACTNGGGGGGGGGAAGGCTGAGCAGAGATTAGTCTTGAGATATTTGTATATTTTTATCATTATTATATTATGTTTGTATTTACAAGATATTGACTCGCAAGAAATATCAAGAACAGGAACCTTTAAATATCCTAGTGTACTGCACAGTGTTTACATTCCTCTCATACAGAATGTAAATAAACTGGATTCTATTCTACTTTTATTAAGAAGTAATTTCTGTTCAGGTGTATGTTTCTATGACTCAAGAACCTCTTTAATTGTCTTAGATTTTAATTGGGGAACTCGATAGAACCAAGGGAAAGTTGTAAGCTTGAGTTTAACAAATTTTTGTGTGAACAAAGTTCTTGGGAGTTTCTATTTCAAATAATATTTCTTAATGTTGATTGGTTTGAGCAAACCAGTCATAATTGGAAACATGACACATTTTAGATAAACTTAGAACACGACCTAATTTATCACTAAATTGACATCTGCAGGTTTTATTTGGCTAAATTTAAACACATTTTCCTCGTGACATTAAGGAGTGTAGACGTTATTCCATTTAAATGGGGGCATGCCATTCACTGTTAAATTTTAAACCTTTGTTCTAGAAACATTTATGAAAATATTTCTTTGTTAGTAAATTCTAATTTATCATAGGTGATTTCATGCAACAGAGACAAAGAACGTAATTTACAGAATTCAATTATATTTTAAGATGTAAAATCAATGATGTCTATTACATTATTTCCTGAATAAATGTTGAAATGGTATTGTTGTGAATCTTCAAATACTCTGAATAATTGTTTTCTAAAACAATCATTTCCTTGGATAATGACGTATTCAAACAATAATATTATAAATAATAACTTATGATCTTGCTGATATTCTTGGTTTTATTTTTGACTCTCAACGTGGAAATTTCCATTTTATTTGATAGAATTAGATTTACTTATTTATTTAGGAGGATGGCATCGTACCAAAAGCAGTAGCATACTAAGTCAAAACATGTTAAAATAAAGTTATTTTTATTTATAAAGTAAAGAAAACGAATGATACTTCATTTCATTTCCCCCCCCCCTCTCTGCATGCAGTTTTGCAGGTGTACAGTATCGAACCCTGTGGTACCCCCTTATTATAACATTGACCCAACACGTGATAAACAAAACTATAAATCTCAATTTTTTAAAATTTTGAAAATAACGGAATTCTTGGCTTTATGAATGTTAGAATAACAAGGTGTAAATCGACAAAAACATATAATAAACATATGTCCATGTTCTGGAAAATTCCGTAACAAACGGAAACCAAAGTTAAGTTAAAAAACGAACGAATTGGAAAAAGGGTTTCCCAGCAAATATACTTAAGAGATAAAAACTCAGCTCTGAAAACTAAAAAATAGGAAAGTTGCAATGTGCTTGACACAAAAATAAAAACTATAACCACACCCCTCTTTGCAAAACACAAGCAAATACTATGCTAGAGGCTAGATCTGTCATGAACACACCTCATGATCATGATACTAGGGTGCAAGAGGGAAGGGGGGGAGGAACGTATAGTGAGAGGGGGGGGGGTCTATATAACTGGGATATACTTTGATTTACTTCAGTTTAAGTTCTGTTTTAGAGGATTATACTTAATTCTCAATACCATCGTTCCTTCTCGACTGTCTTCAATTTTTCAATATCTAGTTAACTTTTTTCTCAAGTCTACAAGTAAGTTCTTTTTAAATAGTTTATAAGTCTACTTCTACAATTAAGTAAGTTTTGAAATGTAGTAAATTTTCTACATTGTGTATGTAGACTCTTTTTTCATTTAAAAAATCAATGAGTATTTTTTTTACATTTTAAAAGTCTATGAAGTAATTGTTTGTCGTTTTTTCATAAATCTTCACAAGTTAGTTTTAAGTTTATTTTTGCATTTACCAAGTATCTTTTTTGTTCATTACGAGAAGATTCTATTAACTTTCATCTTTATATAGGCCTGGTTTGAAAAATGTCTGCCTATTTCTAGTTGAAAAGAATATTTAAATTGTAGAATGCCATGGTGATAAATATGTTTGTATTGTGTATCCAAATTAAACTATTTATTTTCTTATATTCTGATTCTGTTATAGTACAACAAAGGGAATATACTGGGAATGTTTATCCCCAGAAGGAAAAGAATGATAAACTATTTTTAATTACAAATGTCTTTCTCTTTCATCAAAAAATGATCGCTCTGTGGATTCAAAAGCTAGATTTCTCATTATTTTTATTTATTTAGGAAATTAACGAATGAGAGAACAATATCAACCTGAAGTTAACAATTATAAAATGTGTAAAACCGTTTGCTCCGTTACTTTCCGTTTTCCCCATGTTACCTCTGGCCGGGACACTTCTTGGTAGATTTTTAAACTTTGTCTTCGTGGATTTCTCCGCCATTGTTTTTCCCTGGAATCTGCACAATCCTGCAATCAGCTGACTATATAAAATCAGCTGACGAAACTAAAGCAAAGACAACATTTAGAAGATAATCGGTGTTTTTCTTGAAAACCAACCAGACAAACTCTTATTGTCGAAAATGTTTTGGGTATGTCCAAACCCTAAATATGTCCCAGGGGGTGTTGAAAACTTCTGGACTAAACCCCCTACTGAGAGCAACCTCCAGGCATCTTCAAGCACGATGCATGAGCAGACCGGAGTAGATAAAGCTGGGACGTTTTTCTCCGGGTTCTTCTGCAATCATGAAATGGTTGGTCCGAAGAGAGACAAAGAGAAGAAATGCATGATGGTGTTACCATTTCAACACCAAGGATACGATTTCAAGGATATGTTCCAAATTCAATGCGTTTGATTAGAAAACCGTAATGAATAAGAATTGTTAAACATGTAATTGATTTTTTTTTACAATATAATGTTTTAATCTGAATTTGACAGAAATCGTCGAATTGGGTATTTTAGCGAGTAAGTTTTGGCCAAATTTTTAGAAATTAACTCCTGTTCACATAGACACATTTACTTTTTAACTCCTGTTCACATAGACACATTTACTTTTTAACTCCTGTTCACATAGACACATATACATTTTAACTCCTGTTCCCATAGACACATATACATTTTTACTCCTGTTCACATAGACACATATACATTTTTACTCCTGTTCACATAGACACATATACATTTTTAACTGAATCTTAATCTTCAATTTTTAAGTTTTAATTTTTTATAATTTGTATGTTACCATATATCCCGTAAAGGAATTCAAATATTAACATGAAATTTAACAACACTGTTTTTGGAATATTTCTTGATAATATGTAGATTGTAGTTGTAAAGTTAGTGAATAGATTAATAAATCTTTAGATATGTAGTTGTATTATATCTTTTGATGAACAATACACTTTTTACTACTGACGTGATGAGAGTTCAGATCCTACGTCTGAATCTGATAAAATATGCTTTTATCACAAACGCTTTTAATAAATACGTCTTTCAACTTCAAAATAAACATGTTTGATTATGTTCAAAATGTGTCACCCAATTAATTATTGAATCTGTAAATAACATACTTTTCTATTGGAAATGTAATGTGCAGATCATAGTTTAAAGTTCTGATCAATTAAACAAAAGTTCTGATAAATAAAACGAAAGTTCTGATAAATTAAACAAAAGTTCTGATAAATTAAACAAAAGTTCTGATAAATTAAACAAAAGTTCTGATAAATTAAACAAAAGTTTTGATAATTTTAACCAAAGTTTTGATAAATTAAACAAAAGTTCTGATAAATTTAACAAAAGATCTGATAAATTAAACAAAATTTCTGATAAATTAAACAAAAGTTTTGTTAATTTTAACCAAAGTTTTGATAAATTAAACAAATGTTCTGATAAATTAAACAAAAGTTCTGATAAATTTAACAAAAGTTCTGATAAATTAAACAAAAGTTCT